TTTTATTACACCGAAGCCATTTGGAATTAAACAACCACACTTTATATGAACAAAGCATTCAAGACAAGAAAAAATATATAAAACAATTACGATAAATTCGAAAAAAATACCCGACTTGACACTCGCAATCCACGAATCCGTAAATCCCTGAGCAAAGAGTTAGCAAGTTACTAAATATTTTTGATGAAAATAAAGGAAAGAAATTAGGGAAATAAAAGTAAAGGGAAATATTTATTTTTTTTCTGGTATTTTACCTAATTATCCGAGTGTGATGATTTTTGAAAAGAAATTGCCCCGTTTATCGGAGCAATAAAAGAAAATTTGTTAAAGCATCCCCTTTAACTATCCATAACCGGGACAAGAACTCGACCCCAAATTACAGCAAGTGCCTCAAGGCGTCTGACGAGGCGTCGAAACGATGATAAAATGGAACGTAAAATGAAATTGGCACTGCCTCCACTGCCTCCCGATTCTCTATTACTCGCGTTGGGAAAAGTTAAATTCAAGACGACGACGCGACGCACCACTGAAAACTTGAGAGCAAGTTTAATCTATGATTAGGACAAAACTCTGAAAATGGCAAATTTTAGTATGAGAATGAATGGATAAGGAGAAAACTTGGAAAAATTCTTTAATTACCATTGTATTTTGATCAAATTCTGCATGGTGTGGAAAATATTTTGAAAATTGATGAAATTCGTTTTGAATAGTATAGTTGTTGCTTTGGTTTTATAAAAATTGTTGTTTTGCAGATACATATTTCCAATCGTGTCTATTTCTATATATAGGCAGGAGATTTTCTACGACGTGCATTTCAATTGCAACGATTGCCACTCGAAACACGTTATTTATTCTCCACTATACATCTTTTACACGCGCTCGTGCATAATATCGTTTACGTGAGTAAATCACACACTCTCGTGTCAGTTTGTTCGCTAGAAAGTCGCAACAGTCGAAATTGCCCGTAAAAAAAGAGAATGTTAAGTAACACCCAAGTTTTGCTTTCTCGAATATATTGCCAACTTTACTGCAACTTTTCTCCAAAAAACTCGTTAATTCTAATTTACATTGTTTGCAACATATTTTTTTGCTTGTTTTTTCAAAAATAAAATAACCAATGAAAACTGTGTGATAATAATAATAAATAGCGTTTAAACATCTTTTATTTATATAATTTATGGCTTCGAAAAATATTGAATTAATAAATATTCAAAACAAATAAATTAAAAAAGGAGAAAATTAAACAAAAATGAAATCAAAGTTATATTTAAAAAAGTGTTGATTATTAAACCGATAAATAATTCAATCGTGATGGTAATAATAAACAAACGAGAAAAAACGTGCGGAATAAAGCAGGAAAAAACAAGACCGGTAAATAATAAAAGAGATAAAAGTTAATAATAACCGATGATATTTCGTGTGTACAATCTTTTTTTTCCTATTTTTTTATTTTCCCCTCGAACGGAGCTTTTGATTAAAAATTCATCAGACAAACAGTCGAGTTTCTCACTCTCGCCGCTTTTCCCATATAAATGCATATCATGTGGAGTTTCACACGAAAAGTATACACACAGCAGCAGCTTCGCTGAAAACTCCCACTGACGTCGAAATGACGTTTTCTCGGTACGGTAAACCATAGTAAAGGTACGCCACACGTGTCAGATTTCAGGGAGAGAGAGAGAGAGAGAGGAGACTTTACGCTATGCATGTCGATGAAGCTCTTGCGGGAATATAAAATAAAAATGAGAGGCAAAGAAGAAAAAGAAAGAAAAAAAAGAAAAAAAGAAGAGTGAGAAAAAACAAGAAGAAAAAAAAATCAAGGAGTTGCATGATCGCAAGTTTTACTCGCAGTATATCGATATATAAATCTTGCCTCGAGGGGTAAAACTTTCTGCGTCACGAAAGCCGTTAAACTTTTCGCGAGTCAAATTTCTCGAGCCATAAAGCCAAATGCAAATAAGGATACACGGTGTTTTCTTTTTGCATCACCAGTATAATGAGATGGAATTCGAAAGAAAATGGAAAAATAGAAACCTTGAGTCAAGTACGTGCCGAAGGTGAAAATATGTATTAATTCAGTAAAATATTTCAACTTTTTTAGGAAAATATTATTTTATTTATAAATGTTCTTAAAACTATTTTTTTTACGTTATACTACTATTGGGGAACTTTTTTTAGAATTCAGCCACTGTTTTTTTTCAAAATTTCCACTACTTATTCGCTAAAACTAGAAATGAAAAACTAGTCACAAAAATTATAATCAAATTCTTTAAAACGATTCAATTATTTTCAAAAAATATTTCAAATTCATTTCAATATCTAGTATTTTAAAAACTGAAAATATTTGAACCGTTTTAAAGAATTTGATTATAATTTTTTATAATAAATTTTTTATTTCTAGGATTAGCGAATATAAAGTAGTCGAAATTCTAAAAAAAACAGAAATAGTAGCTTTTAGTGACTGAAATCTAAAAAAGTACCCAAATAATTAAAAAAAGAGTAGTAAATAGTAGGTTTTAGTAGATGAGTGCGAAGCCTGTAAATTAAATAAACAAATAAATAATAATTTATATATTTTGTTTCATAATAAAAAGAAATTAATGGAATTACTTTTTTTTCGTATACGTTTACAAAAAAAATAAATAAACTCTCTCTCTCTCTTTCTCTGCTGCAACATTGTCAGTTGTCAATTATTTAAATTTGGCGAAATTGAAATTGATATACAAAGTTGTTTCACAACTATCGCGGGTCTTGCATGGTTTATATTCACTCTCGTGACAGACGGAATATGTATATATTATATTGATATATAGATAAGCGAGCTTCGCATGTTCAGCATTCTCCTCATAATTAATTCACTTGGCTTTCAACCACGGTTTGCGATTTCTCATACAACATAGTGCCACTGCAATTATTTTTCATTGCTTCTGGTCGATGAGAATTAACATGCCTAAACTCCATAAATACACTCCACAAAGGAATCTTCATTTTGCAAATATTTGTCACGGAAAAAGAAATCCTTTCCTTTCACCACAATCTCGAATAACGATCGACAAAATACTCAAGATGCTTCCAAAATTGTTTTTAATTTCTCTTTTTCCTTTAGGTATAAAGAATTTCACTTGCGTAAAATATTTTTCACATTAAAAGTCAAGAAGAAGAAAAAGTTTCCAAAAGAAAAAATTTGCATTTACTGAAATTTTCTTTCAGTTTTTTTTCACAAACTGTGACAATGACTAAAAGTAATTTTCGAAAAATAAATTTTTCCCATTATTTTAATGTTTATTTGTAAAAAATTAATTTCTTTTCTCACAATCAGATTTTTTTTAATAAAAAAAAGAGAAAAGAAAAAAAGAGGTAGTAATGAAATGTAAACCCTAGTTTAATTAACTGAGGGGTGGCTCAAGTTATTCGCGCAATTTGTAAAGGAATTTGCCCGCCTCTTTACATCACCCATTTCTCTGTCGTATATAAACTGCCATCTTGGCAAGGAAACAAGAAATATATAATAGCAAGACGGACGGCGAGAAAAGATTTTCGAAACTAGGACAAAAAACTATTTCACTGTACAGCAAAAAATGAGAGGAAAATTTTTATCCATTGAAAGAAAAATTTGCGAATTTTCAAATAAAAAATCAATCTTAATTATTTTTCAATTTTACTAATAATAAAAATAACAATTTCAAATAGGAATTAAATGAACTAATAATCAATTTGCAAACAAAATATTAATTCCATTGACAAAAACTCTCTCAAGCACTAAAATGGGAACAATTTAATCGACCCCTAATTTTTCTAAATTAAAAAATTTTAATCTCCGTAAAGTTTCATCTACAAAATATTCTCGTGAGAGATGGGCATTTCTTTCTCAAATTACAAAAGAAAAGAAAAACGAAGCTCATTTCAATCGAGCAATCGTCAAGAAAACAAAGAGGCACAAAGAATAAAATTACATTAGTCACATCAGAAAAGTTTTTTCATATAAAATGAAACTTAATAATAGTAAAAATAGCGACAACACGGAGGCAGGAAAAGTAGAAGAATAAAAAAGTAGACGAGAGAGAAAAGAATAACAAGAAGAATGTTCGATATATAAGAGACTTGACGGTAATTCTTTTTCGAAAGGAATTCTTAATAAAGGAAAAGAACTTGGCTTATACAAATTGAAAGATTACACGGCAATATCGACAAATTCCACATCGAATCAACTATTTTCGTATGAAGGGATAAGATTTAATATAATATTCAAAAAAGAGGAAAATAAATGAAAAAAAGATGAAAAGGAAAAAATTCTTTCGCAATTCGATCGATACTGGAATATAAAACGTATCTCCGAAATTAAATGGATTCTCGATACAAAACACCGCTTTCCATTAATCGATTTTCTTTTTATTTGAAAAGCAAACCAAAAACTACTAATTTCGTTTTTTCTTTCCTTTCTCTTTGATAATTCTATCAATATGTTTTAATCTCTTAGAAGAAGAAAGAAACCTGAAACCAATAAATAGAAATTAAAAATCGACAATTTCTCTAATCAGTTTCTTTTCTTCCTTATTGATAATTTTGTCTATATTTAAAATTCTTTTTTTTAGAAAAAGATAAAAAATCACAGGGCAAAGGAGATGAGAACAAATGGAGGGTGAAGAAAAAGAGAATGGAGTGGAACTCTTAAAAATTCGACAAACAAAAGGATACTATAGTGATATTGTCGAGAATCGTCAAGAGGTTCGAGTGAAAAGAAGCCTTTTTGCTTGTTTCCTCTTTTTTCATCACCACCTCCCCCTCTTCCCCTCTGCTGCTCCCTTATATTTCCGTTACATTTTTTTTCTCGCCTTATTACTTATTTTCAGCTTCATTGCTCTCTTCGATTTCCTGTTTTTTTTCTACCCCTTTTTCTTTTTCATTTTAAATTTAATTTAACATTTCCACTATTAAATATTAATTAAGTTTCAGTTTTAAATAAATTGTTTTAATAATCAATTTAGGAAATAAATGAACTAATTGAAAAAAAATTCAAATCACTAACCTTGATCTTTTTCTGGAATTTTTACAGGCGGCTTCTTCTCTGGCGCTTTTGGCGAACAATTTTTCCTAACTGGCTTCACGGTTAATGTCGACGGTACCTAAAATATTTCGTTTCCATTATTATCAAATTTCAGGTGATAATTATTTATAATTAGCAAAATTTCTTTACTTTCAAATATAAATTTTTGAATAATTTCATAATCAAAATTTAAAAAATTCACTTATTCAGTAAATAATTAATTATCATTGTTAAATTTTCAACAATTTTAATATAATTATTCGCAAGAATTCAATTATTTTCATAAATAATAGGTAACATTCTTTGAAAGAATTCAATTATTTTTATAAATAGTACAATTTTTTGCCAAAATTCAATTATTTTATAGAATTTTAATTAATTCTTCGATATAATTCAATTATTTTATTAAATACTAAAATTCTTTGCAAAAATTCAATTATTTTTAATACAATTTTAATAAAAGAATTCACTTTTAAACATTTTTAATAATAAAAAAAAAAAAATTCAATTATTTTGAATTTTCATTTAAAATTATTTAAAAAACTACATTATTTTCAAAAAAACTTAAAGAAATTTTTCAAAAGAATTTAATTATTTTTTCTATCAATAATTTTATGAAAATTTTAATTGTAAAATAATCAATTACAATTATTAACAAAATCGATTATATTTTATAAATTAAAGAAATTTTTTGAAAGAATTTAAATTATTATTAAAAACTTTAATATTATCTAATTTTCGAAAAAATGTAATTATTTTTTATATTTTAATAAAATTTTGGAATGAATTAAATTATTTTAGAAAAGTGTAATTAAATTCTGCGAAGAATCTAATTATTTTCTAAAAATTTTAATTAAATGTTTAATTTCAATTATTTGAAAAACTTGAAAGAAATTGTTTATAGAATTCAAATACTTTCAAATGTTGTAATTAAAATTATTAAAAAAAACTATTGCTTTAAAATAATTCAAAGAAATTCTTCCAAACAATTTAATTACAATTTTTGGAAATTTTAATAAAATTCTTCGCGAGAATTCAATTAGTTTTAAAAATATTAATTAAATTCGATTGTTTTCAACAATTTTGATAAAATTATTTTTAAACGTTTTCACAAAAATTTTTCTATTGAATCCAATTATTTTTAAAATTTTTAATAAAATTCTCTCAAAACATTCAATTATTTTCAAAAATTATGATTAAATTCTTCGAAACAATTCAATTATTGTCATGAATTGTGAAATTCTTTGTAAGAATTTAATTACTTTTATAAAAAATGTAATAAAATTTTTGTAAAAAAATTAAATTATTTTCAAAAGGTTTAATAAAATTATTTTTAAACTTCAATTAGGTATATTTTAAAAATTTTCAATTAAAATGATTAAAATAAAACTTCAAGATTTAAAGAAATTCTTTAAAAAAATGTAATTATTTATGAAAACTAATAAAATTGTATTATTTTTTTAATTAATAATTAATAAAATTCAATTATTTTCAAAATTTTCAATTAAAATTATTTAAAAAACTCCAGTATTTATTTAAAAAAAAATCAAATAAATTCTTCAAAATAATTAAATTATTTTTAGTAGGTGCAATTTTAATAATATTCTTTGGACGAATTCGATTCTTTTCACAAAAATAATAATATTCTCTGCGAAAATTTAATTATTTTCAATAGAATTTTAATGAAATTTCTCGAAAGAATAAAATTTGGATAAAATCCTTCAAATTCTATTATTTTTCAATTTTTTGATAAATACTTTGCAAGAATTCACTGATTTTCAGTACATTAATTTTAAAATTGAAAACATTTAAAGAGAAAATTTATTAAAAAGTTAAGAAGCAAACAAGAATTAACTTTAAACTGCAAACAGATTACCAGAATATAACGGTTATTAATATAGATTATTAACAATTAATAATTAATAATCTAAAAAAATAATCTGAAAATGAAAAATATATAATAAAAATGATAAAAACATGTCTTTGACATTTACCACTTTCTCCGAACGTTCACCAGACGGCAATCTGGCGATCGCAGCTTCAGGACTATCTTCAGGCGGCGGCGGTTGAACAATCCAATTATATTCACGCTTCTCAACAGGCAAACCCCATCGTTCATATTCAAGACTCTGCGTTCTCAATGTCTCATAGCAATCCAGGCAAACAACGGCAAAATCGCCATTCTCCAGCAGCAAACTCTTGTCCGGCTGTCGATGATACCTCAAAAATGGAAAATCTTTAACAGGCAGTGCGCGTACTCGTTTTCTGTATGTTGTGATTCCACACACGTAACAACAATAATCGTGTGTGTTGTATTGTCGGTCTTGTGGATTAACTTGTTGCGAGCCAGTCAACGATTCATAGCGACGCCATTGCGCCAATAGTGTATGGTAGCAAAATGTACAAACGAGTGCCGAGCCATCTTCGCGCAATTGTTCCGCGTTTGTTGGCGATTGATGGCGTAATAGTTCGGGGAAGAATGGCGCATTACGTCCCTGCGGTCGTCCATACAGCACACGAGCGAGCGTAAGATCGCTGTGTAAGCCACACAAGAAACAATAAATTGAACTGCTCGATGTCCCAGGATTGCTGCCGAATGTTCTCTCTGAACTTGAACTTGGCGGCGTTGCTATTGAGCGGCTCACATCGCCATTTGGATGAGGACTAGGAATATCGTATCTGCAATTTCAAAGACAATTATATTATCAAGCAATTTTTCAAAACTTTTCAACTATTTTAATTTTTCTATCTTTCAGGAAAGTGTGAATCTTGCTGTAAATCCGAAAAACAAGAGTTTTTCGAATTTACAGCAAGATTCACACTTTCACTAATTCCACTAATTCCACTAATTTCTACAATTTTTCTCCAATTTTTATTATTTAAATTAATACTTCAATTTACGAATAAAATTTCCAACTTCAATTAGGTATTCATCAAATATATTTTCAAATAACAAATCAATCTTAATTATTGTTCAATTTGCAGGGCTCGAACCAGGGGAAGTATTTAAAAATACGGACTTTACAGACCAAAAATGAAAAATTACGGACCATTTACGGACAAAAATATAACCAATCCGAGTCAAATGAGAGAACATTTTTCTTCAAACTAGAAATTCAATTTAATCCAATAAAGCGACTTTTCTTGCTTCTTAAAGTCAATCCAATACCAGAATTTCAAAAAAAATATCTTACCTTCGACGTTCTAAAGGAACTCTTTCGGCGTCCATATTTTCCCACTGTTGCGCCAAATGATTAACGCAATGACTGCACGCCAATACCCTTCCATGACTGTCCATACAGGCATTTTCCGAAGTTCGAACCATACTTCTCAAACATGGAAAATGCATCGCATGTGAATTCATTCCTTCCGGACTCGTTGATAACCTGAACGTACAAAATTAGTCAATAAAGTTAAAAAAAACCCAGTAAATTATGTTCCTAAAGTTCTGAACGTTTCCAAATTCAGAAAATAAAAACTAACCATTCCATGTGAGTGCGTGGATAGAGTCTCTCACAAATGTAACATCTGTAATTTTGACCGAGAGCAACTGTGCCATTTTCTGCTGGACCATTATTAGGCGAATTCCGTTGACTTGTACTCGCACCCTTAACACTTGCCGTACGCGATTTACTCGATGATTTGTTTAAGTCGTATGGTTTAAATCTTATATCGCTGCCAGTCGCTGAATTTGCCGGCGATTTTGCAACGGCAGGTCGAGGAGACGGTCCTGCAATTCAAAAAAATTAAATTAATTTGTTATTACTATTATTATTTATCATTATCACTTCCTTTTAAAGAAAGTGCAAAAATATTCAAAAACAAAAAAAGAAACATTTTTTTGAAATAAATTCCATTTTCCATAAAAAGAAAAACATTCTACTCAAAGCGGTGCTTTTAAAATTCAATTATAATCTAAAATTTTAACTGAAATTCATTTTTAAATTAATTTTCATTAGGAAATTCTACTAGAATTCAATTATTTAAATACAAAAATAAATAATTTATTGCATAATTGAATGTTTTTTAAAATTCAATTCTAATAAAGAATCGTTATGAACAAATTTTCAAATAATTTAATTCTATCAACGAATTTTAATAAAATTTTTAAGAATAATTACATTTTTCGAGAAATTCGATTAAAATTGTATTAAAAATAATTAAAATTCTGCGATGAGTTTTATTATTTGTGAAAATAATTGAATCCCTAAGAAAAATTTTATTACTTTTGAACAATATTTCATTTTTGCGAAGAATATTAGTACTCTTGAAAATAATTGAATTACTGCAATAATTTGTAACTTTTACAAAATTGAATTTTTTTTCGTGTTTTTAACTAAACATCTTCTATAAATCCATAATTTTTAATAATTTTTAAAAAAGTTCTTTAAGAATTTTCAAATTCATTGGTTTACAATTCAATTTTACAAAATTTAAATTATTCGTAAATTCTTCAATTAAATATATATTAGAAAATAAAAACTTTAGATAATTACAAAACAAATCTGCAGCTAAAGTTTCTCAAAAAAAATTAAATCCACAGAATTGTTAGTTAAAAATATAAAAAATTCAAATTTTCAAAGATTTTAATTGAAAACCTTTTCTAAAAATTTACGTTCTAATGGTTTTAATATTCAATTATAATCTAAAATTTTAACTGAAATCTATTTTTAAATCAATATTTATGAGAAAATTTTACTAGAATTCAATTATTTAAATACAAAAATAACAATTTATTGAATAATTGCATGTTTCTTAAAATTAAATTCTTATAAAGCAAAGTTACGGACTTTTACGGAATTTACGGACCTAGTTCGAGCCCTGCTTCAATTATCATTATTAATTATTATTTCAATTTACATTTTTTCTTGAAAAGAGATTTCTCTTTTCAAGAAAAAAAGTAAATTTTTAAAACTAAATATTTTCTTGAATTTTCTTTTCTTTTCCGTACTTAGAAGAAATTTGAAATTAAAAGAAGAAAGTTGTGTATTTTTTTACCTTGTTGCCTGAATTCGGTTGTTTGAACAACAGCTTGCGGCTCATGATTTTCACCGCCAAAAACTTGATGCTTTTGAGGAATGGCTTTATAACAAATCGAGCAAACTTGAACCATTCCCTGAGGACTAATGGGACTCGCGCCAGGCGGTGGCCTTAGTGAACAAATAAATGGAAAATATGCCTCTTTCTCTGGATTCGGACAACAATAGAGTAATCTAATACTGGATGAAGGATATTCCAAAGCGCAAGTGTAGCAAATAAATGTTGTCGTGTCCATTGTTGGCGCCTGCCGTTTACGTAGAGCATAATCGCGATCATTATGTGGAACACCCTGACGATTATAATTCTTCCACTGTTGTAAAAGATGATTCTGACACGCCGAACAGGCCTGCAAAAAGAAAGAGAGAAGAATTAAAAAAAGAAAGTTCATTTTTCACTGAAATTTTACATTTAGCATTCCAGGGTTTATTAAAGTGAAAAAAATGTATTAAAATAGAGAAAAGAATTACGAGCGTAGATAATATTTGTACCCAGAGAAAAAAGGGGAAAAAAATTCTTTTTCTCCTTTCTCAAGGGTAGAAAATTTACTTTTCGTTTTTTCCCCTGAAAATTGTCACTAGTTAGCTATAAAGTAATGCGATTAAAAATAGATACACTTGACATCGTTTTTACCTGTACACGACCAGCACTATCCATTGGCCTACTCCTGCTCGGTCTCGGATGTAGCATAAGCGAGGAAAAAAATGGCGGTGGACTGGAAGAAGGATGGGGTTGGCTTGGCAATGGCTTTGCCGCTATGTGACTAAGTGAACCTCTTTTGAATTCATCTCCACACACGTAGCAAACTTCGGTCACTGAATTTTTGTCAGGCATTGACAAATCCAAAATGTCTGTACCACTGCTTGATGAAGAACCACAACTGTAGATTGCTGAAAAACATATTGTTCCAAATTTAATTCTTTCTATTTCAAAAGCAGTAGGCTAAATTTACAAAAACTGTTTTTATTCCGAAAAGAAAAATACAAAATTAAATCAAAATAAAAATATAAAATGAAAATACAAAAGAAAAAAATGTAATGCTTGCAAAAAGCTTTCACACAAAAAAGTATTTAGAATTTAGTACACTCTGTAAATAAATAAAAGAAACGAATTTTTTTCACCACTAACTCATGTGAATATAAACTAAAAATCACTGTAACAGTTTCTTGTTCGCACAAATTTCCCCAAAAACTATTTTATTTTTCTCTCTTTGTTTTTTCTCTAAATTTTTCTCACAACTATTTTTCATCACAACTCTCTTGGAGAATACAAATAAAATGTGTTAATATCGTTCCGTAATTTATAATAAAGATAAATATCCCGTTTTCTTTAACGGCGCTCATTATTATGAAATTCCTCGCGATATATTATTTTCTTTTTAACAAACACCACTGATCACACAAAAAAGGAAAAAAAAGTTTTTTCCTTTTTGGGAAAAAGAATTAAATTGCCACAAGATTGTCAAGTTTTTCGCGGAGTAGAGCAAAGCTAAATGACCAAGTGGAACGTTCTCATTGAATGAATTATGCGTTCTACGATTTTCGCGGTCTTATCTGTAAAACTATTAACCTTTACTCACAAAGTTTATATTAGCGAATGGAGAAACGCTAAGGCCAACGTAAATAAGAACCAGATTCGTTTATCCGCGATCAACATTTTATACCAAATAGTGATATGTTCTCGATATTATAACCATTTTAATACTGAAATTCCGAGAAAATTTACATCAATTTTTTTTACAATTTTTTACAATTACAAGAAAAGTGATAGAGAAGAAAAAAAAGATGTTATTATGATTATTAATTATTTATCATTAAACACATTTCCGGTTCAAAAAAAAAATAAATTTCCCTGACCTTTCACTGATTTCTAAATTCAATAATAAGAAAAAAAAAATTCTAAAGAAACTTAAAACTAAATAAAAAGAAGAAAAAAACAATAATAAGTCATCGAAATCAATTGAAGAAATGGAGGATACGAGTAATCGGGTCATATTTTGATATACAAAGAACAAACGGATTCTTTCACGGTATTAAAATAAAGTGTCTTAAGACTCTTAAGTCATATTGTTGACCTTTGATAACTATCCAATTAATCGACGGCAGGTCAATTTTAATAATTAGGTAGCAATCAACTTGAAAGTTAGCGCTAAAAATCTCCTTTCACATATTTTCAAAAAAAAAAAGAAGAAAAAAAATTCTTAACTATTTTCTCCGAATAAATTTGATCAAATCATAATTTCTTGTAGTACAATTTTTCAACCGTTATTTCGCTTAATTATTGCCAAATTATTATAACAAGAAAAACAGACTTCGCACTAGATAATTAATTTTAAAAAAGTGTAGCAAAAAAACTTCATAAAACTGACAAAAATTCCATTCTACATTTTATTTTCCTGCCATTTTCCTAATTTTCATAAAAATTATTCACTTCTTTTTTATCCTGCTAATTTATAAAAATAATTTATTTCTTGCGAAGAATTTTGGAAAAATTTTTAAATAATTAATTTCTTTTGACTAATTTTATGCAAATTCTAATTTAAATAATTGAATTCCTCAGAAATTTGTATTATTCATGAAAAAAATTGAATACTTACGAAGATTTTTACAAATTAAATTTTTTTAAATAATTGAATACTGTTTGGGTATTTTATGAAATTAGTAGATATTGAAAATCATTGAATTGCGAAAAATTTTATAAACATTGTTTTAAAAAATTAATTTTCTCGAAATATATATAAATATTATGACAATTTTATTTTAAATAATTGAAATAGTTGAAAATATTGAAAATAATTGAATTTTGAATATTTTTTCAAAATAATTGAATTGTTTTAAAGAATTAATTAAAATTAAAAAAATTAAAATTAAATTTAATATATTAAATTATTAATATATTAATATTATATATTATACTAACATTATTTATATTCGACGTTCGAAAATTAATATTAAAAAAGAAAAATTCCCTCGTAAATTTACTGTTTTTATTCGGGCCTAAAATAAATATTATGAAATTTAACTTTTGGGGAATATGCAGGCGACTTTGCGCTAAGTTTACATCGTCATAACGGAATTTTTTTTTTCAAGTCAGAGGTCATTGGATAAAACATATAGTAGGCGATGACACGAAGATTCCAGCTTCGGTAAGAGTTTATCGACTTTTTCAAGCTCTTGTCTACATTTCCCACCCCCTTCACCCCCCCATTTTTGATTTGATATCACAGTGAGAACAAAAACTTTTAACACAAAACTGGCGCCAATTTTGTTTCTTCATTAAGAGAAAACAAAAAAATTAAAAGACCCTCTCGAAATTTCAAAATAGAAAATAATTTTCAGTTACTTTACCGAAGTGGTTATTAATTTTCATAATTGTATATTAACGCAGATTGTAAAACTTAAACTCGAAATTAATAATTTTTTGAAAAATTATTTTAAGAGAAATTTTTAACGCATGTTTTTATTTATTTTTTTTGATCGCTTTTTTTAAAGCGTTTTTAAAATCTTACGTTTATAACGGATCTTTCTTTTTTTCTGTCTTTTTTTAACAAGCTATTCTCATATCGTGAATTCATATCTTGAATCCCAGGAAAAAGGAAGTTTTCTGAGTGTTTATCAACAAATGATTACAAATTATAATTAATATCATTGAATAAAATTATTAAATCATTTATGTCAGCCACTAAGTACCAAGTTTTGTATATATTACTTTAGTGTTAGACATTATTTTTTCCTTCTTTATTCTCTAATTATTATAAAGAAAAAAAATTACATGCGCGAACGTTTATTATTTACTCTACATTTAATGATAAACAAAAATTCGTTTCGTTTCTGTATAGCTAAATCTAAATCTAGTAAAATCATATTTTTCCTTGTTTTTATTTATGAAACTAATTCAAAGTTCGTTTTATTAAAATTATCTCAATATTTATACGTATTAATAATTTTTAAAAAAAAGTCTGTTTACTTTTAAAGTTCAACAAAACAGAGAAGTTGGAAAAAAAAACTTAAAAATCAACAATTTTTAATAAACAAATTTTTTAAAAAATGTTTACTTTGTTAAATCGACTACTGAATTCTATATATAGATTCTATTCTATAGATAAAAACAGGCAGAAATAAATATTTTTTTTTTAAAGGAAAAGTTGAAAAGCTTTTAAAAAAAAGGAAATTTTCATTTTCTCTATTCTATTATTTTTGATAAAATTCAACTTTCTATTTTTCGAAGTTAGTACAAAAATTTAGAAATTTTATATTTTATATTTGTATTTAATTGTTCTAACATTTAATTCTAATTTCTATAAAATTTAATAAAAATTTTCATAAACAAGACCTCATTTTTTTTGAGAATGTAGAAAAAGAGAATTATAAATTTCATTCAATTTTTATTCAAAGAAAATTTTCTTTATAACCGAATTTTCATTTAAACAATTTATTATTTTAAAGAGGAATTGCTCCACAGTTCAGTTTAAAAATTTCAGTAAGAAGAAAAGAAATTGAAAATAAAAGTATTATTAATGTACCAAAAGAAAAATTGTTCAACAATTCTCTAAGTAGGCCCAAATTTTGTGAAAAAAGTTTCTAGTTTTTTAAAACAGCACTATCGTAATTTTTTAGTTGTTGGTCAATTGTTTCTAGTTTATATTATAAAAAACTATTAAGAAAGCAATATTTTTGCTATTTTTTGTTTGAATTTGTATTTTGTCAAAAAATATTTTGTTCCTTCGAAAAAATTAATTCTAAAGTAAATAAAAATTATGAATTTACATTATGTTTTCAATTTAAGACAGTCACTTTTAAAAATATTGCAACAGGACATAAATTTCATTTGAATGTTCTAAATTTTTCTGAATATTGTTTGATGCAATATTTCTCCCCGCTTGAAAAAATTGCCTTCGTAATTTTAAGACAATTTTGAATAATTTAGGTAGAAATTATTTTTCCGTTTAATTTCGCCCTTATTTAATTCCTCCCTAGTTTTTCTACTCCAGTAATAAAAATATTACTGGGATGGAAAATTATAAATTTGATAGTGTACTAAATTCCTTCTGCAATTTTGGAAAATAATATTTTAATGTAATTTTTTGACTTTATCATTCGGTAATGATAAAGTCAAAAAAAAAAAAAAATTAATTAATTATAAATAAAAGTTTGAGATTAACGATCACAAATTCAACTCGGAGCAGGGCTCGAACCAGTGAAATCATTTAAAAATACGACCTTTACGGACCAAAAATGAAAAATTACTGATCAATTAATGACAAAAATACAATCAGACCGAGTCTAATAAAGGAAGTTTGATTACTTTTGAAAATAATTGAATTTCTGGAATGATTTGTAATTTCTCTAAAATTCTCCAAATTATATCGTACAATTTAGGAAGTTTTCATCCTTTTTGAAACAAATTACGGATTTACGGACCTAGTTCGAGCCCTGCTCGGAGTGATCGTTAAACTGAAAGTTTTATTTATAGTTTAATTATTTGTTTACCTTGCGGTTGAGGTGGTAGAGTGGGTTGCGGTACAGGTGAATTTCTCGGTGCGTGCCGCAAGTCAAGTGCAGCCTCATTGGAAATTCTCGATTCCTCGACAACATTGTGTTGTCGTGGACTTTGCAGTCTTTGATGAGGTGATTGTAATTTCTGATGTGGCGACTCCATGGTGAGCCTCGTCTGTTCAATGTGTCTCGCTGCTGCACTCTCGCTCGTATTCAAATGCTGCTGCTGTTGCTGCGGCCTCGCAAGTTCCACCGAATTCGCCTGCTGCTGCTGTTGTTGCTGCTGCTGCTGAATTCTATTCGTCGTTTCAATTCTCGGCGATGGTGAATTTGTCGGCAAACGTGGTGAAATACCCACAGGCCGTACACCACTCTCCTGTCTCGTCTGTTGTTGTCCCGAAGTCGCTCCTGCCGCCGCTGTTGTCTGCTCATTAGTCAAGCCAAGAATTTGCGCCGCATATTCGCCCTGAAGGGCCATTTCCGCCCCCGTGAACGGTCCACCGTCACATCGCTTCAGCCAATAGATCCGCTGATTATGAGGCCTCGCATCGCGCTCATAACTGTCCCATTGCTGCAGCAATAGAGTATAACAGAGACTGCAGGCCTTGATGGCGCCGCTTCTTACACCCTCACCACGATAGCCGACCGGCGGATCGTGTGTCTCCAAAAATGGAAAAAACGGCTCGTTCGGCGCTGAACCCGGCGCTTGTTTCACTCGCAGCCAATACTGCTCATTGTGACTCAATGTGCCGCAAACAAAACATATTCGTGGCAGAAGTCCCTCATCCTGCTGCGATGGTACTGATTGCGAAGGTGGAGGAAGATTTCCCTGCATTACCACTGGTGATTGCCCTTCGAGTCCCGGCTCATTTTTCACATACAATTTACTTTCCATCATGTCAGGAAATCATCAGTAGGATACCAAAAATATTTCCTTTCCTCTATTTCTCTCCTTTCTTTAATGCGATCCACATCTTCCACTTTTCTGCAACAAATTTTATCCATCATTATTATCAAAACTCACCAAAAATAAAAAATTATTACAAGAAAAAAAAACAAACTCCAAATGTCTATTTATATTCAGCAAATAGATTTTTACAATATTTGCCCATCTGTTAAACAGAGAATTGTCCTCGTTGACTCTACTCTTTGTAAACAAAAATCAACTTTCTAGGTCTCGGCGAATCTTCAACAAAATAGAAAAAAGTCGATAATTCTCCATTTTTAAACATTAAAAATCCACAAAAAATTTGTAATTACGAATAATTATTTTATTTCTGAAACTAGTTTTCTTAACACATTTTTTCTAAGGATATCAAAATTGGGACAAAAAACGAATCAAAAGTACGAATCTTGTAACTGTTATTATTGTCCATGTTTTTTTTATAGTAATTAACGTATAATAATTGGAATTTAGTAAAATCCTTTAAAAATAATTGAAATATCATAAAATCTTTTAAAAATAATTAGAATTTTATAAAATATTTTTAAAATAATTGAAATTCGGTAAAATCTTTTAGAAACAATTGAATTTTGGTAAAAGCTTTTAGAAATAATTGAAATGTTGATAAAATCTTTTTAAAACAATTGAATTTTGGTAAAATCTTTTAAAAATAATTGAAATTTGACAAAATCGCGTTTAAAAATAATTGATTTTTTTAAAAATATAAAATAAATAATTAAATTTTTGAAGAATTTTAATTACAAAAATATAAACATATTGTTTTTCCGAAATTTTAATAAAAATCTAAAGAAGTAAATTTAAAAAAAATTTAATTTACTTTGTTCGAAAATAAGTTTACCTAAATCTTAAAAAATTACCATAAAAAAATTCTAAAAATTAGTTTTTTCAAAATATTCTAATGTAATTTTTCGAAAATAATTGAATTTCTTAAAAGAATTTTTGTATAATTGAAAAAAACTAAGTAATTTTTTGAAAAATTTTAATTAAAAATTTTCACAATGATTGTTTTTTCCAAAATGTTAAAAATAATTCTGAAAAATTTTAATGTTAGTATTATTTTTTGTACCTATGTATTTTGAATTTTCGGAATTATATTTTTGAAAATATTGAAAATAATTGAATTTTCAAAAATTTATAATGGAAAAAAATTGTAATATGGTTTTTTAGAAGCTAGTTTTCAATAACTTTTATAAATTTACACTTGACCATTTTTCATTAAATTTTTTTTGAGAATTCAATTATTTTTACAAAATTTGCAATTAAATTTCTTCAAAAGTTGATTTTCAAAAATTGTAATAATAATACTTGAAAAAATCAATTAAGTTTTACAAAATTTCAATTATTCCAAATCTTTTTAATTGTATATTTCGAAAATTTAATTAGAAAAATTATTAAAATAATTTGCAATTTATATTAAAAATGTGGTATTTTGGAAGAAAAGTCGAAAAAGTCGTAATTTTTGTAAATAATTCGAAAAAAATCGCATTTTTGGAAAATAGGCGAAAAAAGTCTTTCTTTTTAATATATAACGAAAAGAAACTTTTCTTTTTTCAAAATTTAAATAAAATAAAATTCAACGTTAAAAAATTATAATTTGAACGAAAGAAATACAATAAAAATTATTTACCATATTTTGACAAAAGAGCAGATTTTTTAATTAATACGAAAATATTTATAGATGAAAAAAACTACTTCGACTCGAAACAAAGTATCGACTGTGGAACTTTTAGTTTTAAAATTTAGCACTCCCTTGTTAGCATAACCTTCTTTAAAGCTAATAATACATTGATATCGATGACAAGTGAACAAAAATGTATTAACTATTGTTACTTCAAATTTTCTCAACCAAGTTTAAATCACTCTTTTAATATTTAATAGAAAAATGACAAATTAAATGGGAAATAAGAAAAAAATTTTATAATCAAGAAAAAATAATAAAAAAAAAAAGAAATAAATAATTAAATATGAAATTAACGTTTAAAAAAATCGTCAAGTATTTACTATATGAATAGATATAATTAAAATTATACTTTCAATTTTCATATTTAAATTACTAAACAGTAAATAATTGTTTTTCACTCAAAATTCAAATTATGTGTAAATAATAAATCCATTTTTTCACTCAATATTTGAATTATGCGTAAAGTATAAATAAATAAATTTGTTCACTCAAATAAAATACGATCAAATTGAATAATGATTCAGAAAATTGAAAATCGCTTGACGAATACACTTTGAACGCAATTTTATACAAATTGGCAAAAAAAGACAAAAATTGTAAAATAAAAATAAAAAAAAGAAGAAATAAATAAATTTTGTTTATTTGAACGTTAAAAACTAAGAAAATTCACAAAAAAGACAAATTAAAATTTTCTTAGAACTAAAAAATAAATATTAAAATAAATAAAAAACAAATACTTAAATAAGAAAATAAATTTTCTTTTACGTGTCAATTTTCTATAAATCGTTCATTGACAATTTAAATTAAAAACTGGTTTTTATTTATCAGCATATAATTTTTAAAGTCAAAGATTAAAAATTGTCAAGTTTTTTTTCATTCCAACACTTAATGACAAATTGTATAATTTGCCAAAAGAAAATGAAAAAAAAACATGTGGAGCTAAATTATTTATTCTATTTTATTGTCAAAGAAACCGGTTTTTCTATATTATATACGATTTGTTATAAAATTATAAATTATTTATTTATAAATAGAAAATTAAATAATACAAATATATAAATTTTCAATAGAAAATGAAATGAAACAGAAAATGATTTAGAAAAAAAAAATGATATATCTAAGCTATTGTATGTAAATGAGTTGATTTGGGTGCAGCTGTGACCCTTTTTCCTCAATAATGAATAAATATATAAAATAAACATCGTTTTCTATTTATATAAATAAATTTCTTTTTTCTATTACAACAGAAAGGAGACAAAAAAAAGAAACAAGAAAAGAATTTACGGTCAATCGAAGATAAAATAAATGAAAGACACATACAAATAAAAGAAACTTTAATAAAAGACATTAAATTGTCCATATGACCTGGTTTAATTTATTTAATCTAAAAAAAATTATTATTGATTTCTTTAAGATATTAAAACACAAGAAACACAAGAAAAATGGAGAATTAAAAAATAGAATCTAAAAAAAGAGGGAAAATTTCATTTTCTAAAATAATAATAATACTAAAATATTTTATTAGTATTAAAATATTACTATATTAAATATTTCAGTGCTAATAAATATAATATTTCAATATTAATAATAAAATAATAATGTTAATAGTAAAATAATAATGTTAACAGTAAAATAATATTATAAATAAAACACGTTTATAAAATAAAATAATAATTTAATATAAAATAGGAAATAAAGTAATAAAAGTAAAAAAACTAAATATCGATCGCTTGTAATTTTAAACGTCAAATAATTTTAATATTAGAGATATCGAGTATCGATTGACTGTCGAATATTAAATTAGTTTATTTTTCTTCCTCAAGACAAGAATCAAGAAATTCTCATTTTATTAAATTCTTTTAATTTATCCTAATAGTAAATAATTAATTATTAAAAATACTTAATTAATGAATTAAAATAATTATTCAGTTACAAAGAAGTAAAAATAAATAAATAAATAAACGAAAAATAGAAGTTGAAAAAACTTGAAATATAAAGTTCACTAAACTCTTTCAACTTTCGTCAGTAATTTCAATGAAAGAACAGCTGTTCTTTTTTGAATATATACACAGTGTTCTTTGAAGAAAAAAACTGAACAAACAAGAGGAATGTGGGTAATAAAGCTCTTAGACATATGGGCACAAGCAATTAAGGTGTAAAATGTAATTTATCAGCAACAATATAAATGTAGTAGCTAAATATTCATTAAAAAGAATAAGAAAAACGTAAATAGTAAATTTTTGATTTTTTTACTTCATTAATTGTGCAGAAGAATTTAATGAGGTAATTAAAAAAAATAAAGTTGAATGAATTAATCTGTCTCCTAAAAAAAGGAGATTATAAACATGTTTTACTTCCCATTTAAATATCAAGTATTTTAATTTCGTTGGAGTTGGGAAAACAATAAACAATTTTGTTATAATTACATAATTTATAGAATTTAATTATATAATTTTAGATGGTAATTCTCAATTTTCGAATTGAATGCCACCCTTATTTTTTAATTCACAAGATTCTAAATCAGAAAAAGAAGAATTTAATTTTCAAAAATGAAAATCGAAGGAATAAAAACGAAAGTTAACCTTAAAATGTTTGCGGAGAAAAAGTGACAAGTGAGAAAAGATTTACCACCCCGGGGTTCAATTTCATTGTTCCGAAATTATTGGCAATTGTAATTTCACTATTAAATCTTGAAGGATGTTTCTATATTAAAAAATTATCCCTTAAAAAGGGGGCGTCACGAAAAATATGGATTTTTAAAGAAAATATAAAGCACTTGCACACTTTCAACTCATGTTCCTCAGCCCAAGATTTGAACTTTGTATTAATTTTTCAAACCCTCGTTAATAATTGAAAAAAAATGAATGCTCACTGATCCCCGGAAGTTATGGTACGATCGCATAATCGAGAGGCCAAAATTCCTTCTACGAGGAACCACGAGAACTTGTTCGGTGAGAGAACACGAACATGGGTTCATAATGGTGGGACATTTTTTTTTCAAGCGTCGGCAAAACGAAACTCATTTTTTCCCCTTAAATTCTCATGGTTTAAAAAATGCAAAGGGGAAAAAATTTTCATCAATTTAAATAACGCGACAAATGAAAAAATTATTAACTCTATTAAACAAATTGAAAAAAAATGCCAAAGAGGAAAATTTCAATTTTTGAGATTTTTTTTTACACGGCAAAGACGACGACACGACACGACCGGACACCGACCGTGACTCCCGAAATACGCTGCACCATCGATAAAATATCACATTATTTAATTTCAGAGAAAAATTATATCAACACTCACATTCTCACAATAAGCCCACAACATTGCTGATGAATCGTGGAATTATAATCAAGCAAAAGGGATAAAAAATTCTTGCTCTTATCTCTCTTGAATTTTCAGTCTCTCCCATACGTGCTCGAGCTCCACTCCAAATTGTTGGGTGTCACCTTGTCGCTGCGCGTCTTTACACTCATATTTACATTGAAATGCGCGTCGTTTAAATTAGTCCGATTCGCGTATCAGACAATTGTAATTAAATTAAAATTTTCTTTAAACGACTCCGGCGAGTAGAAAATATACATTTACAAAAGGCTACAGTGCAACTCACTCCACCGCCATCTTGTACCATGTCCCATGATGCGCCACGATATACAATATACATTAACCAATCAGCGCATTCCAAGCATGCGCAAGTAGTTTCACAAAGAGCGGTAAATTCAAAATTATTTTCAAAAATATTTTTTATAAAAAAAATAATACTGACCTGCAGTTTATTAATATAAAACTTTATTTGTATTTTAAAATATGAATAATGGTATTAACTACTAAATGTAAGTATTTTATAAGTATATAAATAAATATAGAAATAAAATTACCATTACAAAAACGTAAACCGTACAGATCTTTAAATTTCCAACGTTCAGTATCTGCAAAAATGATTCAAAATGTATTATAACGTAATAAATAATTATTATGTAGAAGCTATAACAAAATCGTAATCAATAAATAGAAAAAATTTATTTTAAATAATATTTAAATCGGGATAAATGTTTATGCACAGTACCAATGCCATTGCAGCAGTGTTGGCAACATTGACTTTTGGACAAATAGCAATGTTGGCAGCACTGTACTTTGCAATTTTAGGTTTTTAGGTGCTGTGTACATAACTGTCAACATTTAAATGGAAATTGTTTTTGTAAACAAAGTATTCTATTATTTAATTTACTACAAATAAAAAAAACCAAAAGAACTAAAATCCTACGCATAAAAAATGAATATTTCGACAAAGTTATAAAATTAAAAGTATCTCAAGAACAATTGTTGCAAAAAATTCCAGTCAAAATTGCAAAATTTTTGTATGTTAATCGTTAATTATTCTGACAGGGCAGGATAACATGTCTTTTGAGGTTATGTTGCCTATTATTTTTATTTATTAATTCAGTTAATTCATCAAGAAAACAGTTTTAATTACTTCAAAAATAATTAAAATTTTAATAAATAAGAATTTTTGATTTTTCTGGACAACTGTAAGTTTTAAACCTGTTTACTTTAATTAATTAGAAATAAGTTATTTAAAAATTCTGTTTACAATTTGAAGGATTTAAATTAAAATCATTTATTATTAAGGTTTTTTTTATTACAAACAAAATAAAAGATTCGATTTTATATTATATTATAATATAGTAATATTTACTTATTATTTATTATTAATATTTATTTAAATAGTAAATTTTGACAGTAAATTAAAATCAATATTGAATTAAAATTAATATTTTATAAAATTAACATTTACTAATTTATAATAATTTAAATTAATTAATTATTGTAATTAATGTAAGTAAATATTACTATAAATTAATTAATTTAAATTAATTTTAAATAATATTAAATAAAAAAATATTAAGTAAATATTGGTATAAATTAATTTAAATAGGTAAATTTAAATATTTTTTATTTATTATTATTTATTGAAATAGTAAATAATAAAAAATAAAATATTGAAATTGAGATTGAAAGGAGGGGAACTTTGAGGAAATTGAATAAAATTTAAAAGACGGCACATAAATTTCGTGATATTTAATCATTAAGAGGGGACACAATGTGGTACGTAATTCTATGTGTTATGTGATTTGAAAATTGCTTCAATATGTTTCACATATTTTTTATGCCACCATGAGTAGTGGACCCTGGTATTTTTTTTGTTTTTTCATTCTTTTAATACTAAAAAATCATAAGAAATACTTGAAAAATACTCTTTGCAAATAATGATTTTTTTTCGAGATTAAGAGAATCGAACACGATTCTCAATTTTTTTTTTTTTTTTTTTTGCGGATTTCTAAGAACTAGGATGTATTTTCTTTTTTTGAAATTTTTTACCGTACAATGACGTAATCACAAGAAATGTCGTTATTTTCTAGCAATTATTATTATTGTAATATTTTAATTTAATTTATTTTTTTTATTATCATTGTAATTCTTAAACATTATTTCAAGTAGACACGCAGTATAAGTTTTTTTTTTTTTTGTAGAAAGATATTTTTCGGGGATTTATTTTTTTCTATTTTTTTCAGTCCATTTTCCTCGAAAAACAGTCGTACCCTCAATAAAAATCACAAAAATTTTTTTCATAGATTATTATTGAAAGAGAAAAGAAAAAAAAAACGCTAAGCAAAACTTATAGTTTAATGAAGCGGTCGCGAAAAAATTTTTACAGTGATGGACAATAGCTTTGCGGATAACGTTTTTTTTTTATTTTTTTCTAAATTGTATCTACACACAAAATATTTCATTTTTCGTATTTTTTATTCGCTTATTTTGAGATTTGAAAAATAATTTTTCACTATTTTTTATTCTTAAGAATGAGAATTAAACGAAGAATTTTTTTTAAGAGTTGTTTTAGTTTTAATTTTCTTAATTTTCAGCTGTTATTTTAATTTCGTTAAACTTTCGAAAATCGAAATAAATTCTATTTTGGTTTTAATTTTCTTGATTTCAACTGTTATTTTAATTTCCTTAAACTTTCGATAATCGAAATAAATTCTATTTTTGATTTTTACATTCTTTGAAAAGAAAAATTTGTATTAAAAAATTCAATAATTATGTGTAAATACAAATTTCTTAACACTTAAATTTTTATCGCTTTCTTATAAATAATTACGAACATGAATGACTATAGTTTGATTGCCACAATTTTCCACTCTCACATTCTTTATACATTTTCACTTCTCTTACATATCAGAACCAATCAAATAAATTTTACCATTTTTTCCCCCAAATTCTTAATGAAAAATTAAAAATTCGAAAGGATAGAAATACAGAATTTATTTGAAATGATAATAATTTTTTATGCAATATTTTCTTAATTAAAAACTATCTCATTTTCATCTAGTATTTTATTTTTATATTTAACTTTTTTGCGTAAAATGATTTGTTGCCTTTTTCGTAAATACTCTCTCTCCTTTTTTTGTTTTTTTTTTATTATTTATAAGCGTATTTAAAAAATGAAGAACAATTACCGAGTTCGTTCATTAAAATTCAAGCGATGTTTCTATATATTTTTGATAAATTTCTCTCTTATAAAAAAAAGAAAATTCAAAATTCTGCGAAGACAGTTTTTTTAATCGACAAACTGTTTTTTTTTTAATAATATAAATTTCGCTTGATTTTTATTTGTACATATAAACACATATTATGATAATATTTTCATTATGCCTAGTATGATGAATATTTCGTGAAAATAGGAGTGATTTTTTCTCATATTACGCTTCTTTTCGTAAACTTTTAAAAATTGACACTATATTATTTAAAATTGAGCGTTTCGGTGCAATAATCGGTCTTGCCTCATAGCATCCTGCCGGCGCAAGACCGATTATTGCACCGAAACGCTCAATTGCTCTGAAAGAATTTTTTTTTCATTGAAAATTTTAAGATCAAATTACAAATTTTCTATTTATATACTAATGTGACAATTTACTTAAGAAATGCGTAAAATTGTTAACAAAATTGTAATTTGATTTTTTAAATTCAATAATATTTGGATAAATTTTTTATGTCATCATTTTAATATTTAAATAATTATTTTGGTCCAAATTCGTATTTTTTTCAGTGCAATTTTAATAACTTCGCCTTCTTGACAAAAGAACTCACGATCTGGTGAATTTAAATTGAACGAGAGACTAAATTTTCATTTACATTTTTCATTATGAATAACCATGTTTTATATATTTATTTATAAATACTATAAATAGAGGGTCATTTCCTCCGATAAAAGAACTGACCTCTGAACTTTGTTAGGCCTCATCATTTTGATAAGAATGTGTCGAAAAATAAAAAATAAAAAGAGGAATAAAAAAGGAAGAAAAAAAATGTGCTAAAACTTTGAAGCAACATCTGTGATGGAAAATGTCTTAAAATGAGTCATAAAAACACGTTGGTCCATTTATCACTCAACAAATAAAAGTCTCTTGCATTACATTCAATTTCTCTCATTCTCTCTCTCTCTCTCTCTCTCTCTCTCTCTCTCTCTCTCTCTCTCTCTCTCTCTCTCTCTCTCTCTCTCTCTCTCTCTCTCTCTCTCTCTCTCTCTCTCTCTCTCTCTCTCTCTCTCTCTCTCTCATTTTCTCCTTCTCTCAATTTTCTTTTTTTCTTCTTTCTTCAATTAAACAAAATTTTCTTCTTCTCTTTTCGAATTTTTATAAATTTTCTTCGTGTTTATTCTTGTATTTAGTTTTTCTTCTTAAAAGTCTCTTTTCCTTTCTTGTATTAATTTTAACTCTCGTCCTTTTTTTGGGAAAGATTTTCTCCCTTTGGATCGTTTCTCGATATTTTGACGTGTCGACATTCATTCTATTTATTTCTCTCATTTTCTCTCATTTTCTCTCTCTCTCTCTAATGATATCGCGAATGTCTAATCAAAAATCGCGGCAGCATTTTTGTTTCCGCTGCTAATAGCACTTTTGTCCTTTTTTGAATTAAAATTTGAACAAATTCAAAAATTCACACACTTGCATACGGAATAAAAAATAAATCTAGAATAATCTTCAATTGCAAATTTTTTCATAGAAAAATTAAATTTCTTCGTTCGTTATTACAACTAGAAGAAAAAGGAAACGAAAATTTCCAATTTCTTTTTTTTCCCTAATATGAAAAATAAATTTTTTTGAAAAATAAAAATTCTATTTACATTGCGAATAAAAAATAAAAAACTCTTCGCTAATATTTGCCAATTAAAACCAATAATATCACAACAAAATTTCAAATGTATGTGTAACAAAATTAGAATTGAAAAAAAATCAACAATTGGAAAATTTATAGAAAAAAAAATTGTTAATTTCTTACTAATATGCCTTTTCGATACGGCAGGTGAATATTCTCACGATTCTCTCGACTGCGCTGAATTTTCGATCCTCTCGGCGTTCTCAAATAATGCTGTTATTTACATTTAAAATTTCATTTGTCGTCATAATCCTCCTTTCGTCAATGACTTCCGTTGTTTTTGGAACGTATGATGTTTCATTATTATCGAGAGATATTTTTGTTGTATTGTTGTGTTTATTGTCGACATTCGTCAATTCAAGGGGAAGATAAATTGTGCGACAATGATCAATGTCCGCACGACATAGTGGACAACGTTCGCAACGTCTTGCACAATCCAAACATGCCACCGCGTGTCCACATGGAAATAAAGCCGTGTCTAAACTTCGATCCATGCAAATGCGACAGAGCATCGCGTCCAAAAGCCTCGCCAGACACTCGCGTGATTCCTACAAGAAGAAAATTGCAAAAATTACTATTTTTTTATGGAATTTATTTTAGTCTTAGTTTATGGTTTATTTTCATTTTTCCCTGGATTCTTTTTCAAATTAATTCGCTTCACGATATTTTACTGTTATTCTATAAATCTTTATGATAATTTTTTTTTGCCTTCTCGGAAAGAAAATAAATTATCGAATTTTGCGTATAAAAATCAGGATGACCGCTGTTTTCATAAAAAAAATTTTCGGTCATGAATTATTTTTCCCGGCCATAAAAAAGCTCTCAAAAATTATATTCAAGATTTCAATTCAATTATTTTCTGCCGAAATTTTAGTTAAAATTCTTCCCCAATTCAATTATTATAATTTTTTTTACAAAGTTTCTTAAAAATTCAATTATTTCTGTGGAAATTTTAACTTGAACTCTTCTCTAATTCAATTATTATAAAAGTTTTTTGAGAAAGTTCCTTAAAAATACAATTATTTTAAAAAAAGTTCAAAATATTTCTAAATTTCACTTATTTACAAGACAATTACATGAAATTTAGAATAATTTGAAAATTTTCTGTTTAAATATAGAATTTTTTAAAATATAACTAGGTAATTTCAAAGAAATGTGATTAAAAATGTTTGTAAAAACTAACTTTTTCAGAATTTTTAATATTAATTTTTTAAAAATCAAATTTTTTAAAACTTCAATTTAGAAACATTTTGAAATTCTATCTATATTAACAACATAATATTAATTTGATATTCTAAAATATAAAAATAGTTGCTTTATAAATTATTCTTGAAAAAATAATTAAAAATGCAAAATACGGTTTTTAAAAAAAATTATTTTGTGAGAAAAAAACCTATTTTAAAATATAAAATTTTTTACTTTTAATATTTCATTTTGTAATTGTTTTAACTTATTTTGTAATTTCTTATAATTTTGAATCTGAAATATTTTTATTTTTGCTTGGGATTTTATTAAAATTTTTAAAAATACATAATTTAATTGTTTTGAAGAATTTTATGGAAATTTTGTGAAAATAATTAAATCATTTTGAGGAATTCAATTCAATTCAATTCAATTCAATTCAAAATTGCGTATTGAAAACAATCAAATTCTTATAATTTAATTCTTTCGAGAAATTTTAATAATATTATATTGAAAATAATTGAATTTAGTGCGAAGAACTTTATTACATTTATTTTTTTGTGGTGGTCAACAAAATTCAGAACTTTCTTATAAATTCTTATGAATCAGAAGTTTTCTTTTAATAAATAATATAATAAATTTTTCTATTATCAAAATTAGAAATGATAAAAATTCCAGGGGGAAAAAAGTTTAAAAATCATTTATGGAAAATATTCAATTGAAAGTTTTTCTCGAACAAAATCTATATAGTTATCGGTATAATAGAATAGAAAAAGGAGAAAAAATCTGTTTTAAAATTTAAAAATATAGACACACACCTTGCATTTTGGATTTTCGCAATCCTTGCAATCGTTTCTCTCCAAAATTTCATTTTCTTCTGGTAAAGCTATATTTGCCGATTCGCAATAAAGTGCACGACGCGCATTGTCGTAAACTTCCCTGCAGGTTCTACGAATATCGAACACATATTTTTTGCCGAGAGTTGAATCATCATTGAATATTGAAATTATCGTTCCCTGAAAAAGAAATCATACATTTCAGTACAAAGTCCAGAATCATAATTATGTAGAATGTGTAAAGAAAATTAAAAAATTCCAATTAAAATTATTCAAAAGTTGATTTTCAAAAATTGTAACAAAATATTTTAAATAAATGAATTATTTTCAATTAAATTTTACAAAATTTTAACTATTCAAAAACAAAAGAAGCGCCGAAGAATAAAATAATTAAAACGTATTGATTGTCCTCTTTCTAAAGAGACAAAGAGTGAGAGCGTTAAAATTTGTTAATTAATTAATTAATAGAAATTAAAGAGAAATACCTTTAAATCTCTGATGAACTGGGCAGTGACGGCACTTCTGACAGTCTCGCAACTGTAGAACGCGTGTTTTTCCGTAATCGCTCTGTACAATCCGCTCGCGGATTGACTTGAGTCGAGTTTGAAATCCAACGAAGTTTCCTCGCCGTCGAGAGAAAGATAGACTAGATGAAACATCCGTCTCTGGGAAGTTGCGCTCTGTATAGCCGTGTAGGGTATGCTGCAAATAGAATTCAATATTAATTACAAAAAAATAAAATCTTCATTTTCCTCTGTTTCATTATTTTATCAGCAAAGAAACATTAAACTAAGAAATAATTCAAATAAATATGAACTAAGAAAAATTAAATTTTTTCAACTCACTTTTGTATCTCGTCTTCTTGACTGCGATAAACAGTGATTCCGTGTGGTCCAACGCCAATCATTGAAATTCCATTGTAACCGAATTTACTGTTAAACATTTCTTGACCAAATGTATCTAAATTTGAGACTTCTTTTAGCAGCCAATATTCAGCAGTCGATGCTTTCATGCCCTGTGGAAAGGAAAAACATTTTTTATTTTTTTCATCAGATACGAATTTTTCTGGGTCACATCCTTTTGTCTCGGCAAAGTTTTTGACTCACCGGAGAAAATTTATTCCTATTTTTTATTCATTTATTTACTAATTTCAAATAGACAGTTTTGTTAAAAATATGTTTATTTTTCAGGATTGCCGCACAGGCCAGGGAAAAGTCAAGGAATTTTATCAAAAGTGCTGGAAAAAAATTCAATTTTGTTAGAAGTGATAAGAAAATTCAAAAATTAAATTACTGAATGGGAATAAATTTTCTCCAAGCAGTAAACAACATCTAAAAAAGGAAAAAAAAAACTACTAGTAGTTAAAGTTTTGAAATATGAAACAATTTGTCGACTGGTACAAACCTTGATTTCTTTATGTTGTTGAACAATTCGATGCAAAAAGTCTTGAGGTTTTGGTTCGCAAGGTTCGGTCGGTTGAATATGACAGCACTGGGAATAAAGTGCATGCGGTGGTAGCAAGGCATCGTAATTACCTCCATCGGCTTGAGCAATTAAAGCAACCAAACGGGCCACAGATACCCAATCAGAAACCTTCAATCTGCCCTCAACCAATTCCAAACGTGAATGCAAATAGAATTGATGCCTGTAAACAAACAATAAATCGACTTTAGTCAATTAAAGATACGAAAACAGTCGAAATAGTCCAGTTTTTCGAAAACCGAATTTTTTCAGAATTTCTGAATTCATTTTGTATTTGAAACTTCCATAATTTTTTACGGTTTAAGTTGAAACTTTCTCTCGACTAATTTTATGCGAATTAGAATTTAAATAATTGAATTTCTAGTATTGGCGAATTAAAAGTAGTGGAAATTCTAAAAAAAACAGAAGTAGTAGCTTTTAGTGGCTGAAATCTAAAAAAAGTACCCAAATGTTAGCATAACGTAAAAAAATAAAAAAGTAGTAAATAGTAGGTTTTAGCAGAGTGCGAAGCCTGGAATTAATTTATTTTCAACTTCCATAATTTGTTAAGTTGGAACCTTCTAAATTTCTAAAAGTTGCTACTGTTTCTCTTTGAAAGTTTCTAAAATAAGAATGGAGAATTTAGTGGTAGGTGGGATTTTTGAAATTTTGAAACCTAAGTTCACAAGACTATTTGGGAAGATTTGCACCATTGTGGAATTTGGCCCTAAGGAAATAGGAGCGAGCCTACACATTCTCCTTTCAATGGATTTAGTGCAACCCTCACCAAGTAGAAGTAGAGAGTATTCCAAAATTAATAGATTGAACCTCAAGGCAAATTCAACATTCGATATGAAAGCATAGCCAACATTGTTCAGCAAGTTTTCGCCTCTATATGTAATTTGGCCCCTTTTCAAAGTCATTTAAAACTTTAAAATAAAACTCATTCTTTTTTAATTTTATCACAGTGAATTATTAATTGTCAATTTTTAATACCTACTGAATATTCTGGTAATTCTTTGCAATTATCTAATTCCAGGCTTCGCACTCATCTACTTAAACCTACTATTTACTATTTTTTTACGTTATGCTACTATTTGGGTACTTTTTTCGATTTCAGCCACTAAAAGCAACTAAGTATTTCTGTTTTTTTTAGAGAATTTCCACTACTTTAAATTTGCTAATACTAGAAATCAAAAACTATTCTCAAAAATTATAATCAACTTCTTTAAAACGATTTAATTATTTTCAACAAAAATTCGAAATTCAATTATTTTCAATATCTAGTATTTTTATAAAATTTTGCAAAACAATTCAATTATTTAAAAAATTTGTTGTAAAAATCTTCGTAAGAATTCAATTCTTTTCATGAATAATAAAATTCGTTGCAGCAATTCAATTTATTAGCTGTTAGCAGGATCAGAAAGTAAATGTTTTTGATGAAAATTAGGAATAAGTGAGGAAAATAAAATATAGAACGGAGTTTTTTTTGTCGTCAAGTTTAATTTTTCGATAGCTCCTTTTTTTAGTTTGAAAGCTACTTTTTGCTACTTTTTTAAAATTAATTATCTTGTGCGAAGTCTGTAATTATTAATTTTCTGTAAAAGGTGACTGAGTATTTATCTATAAATTGGGTGATAAACAGTGTCAGTGGTTGGATAATATTATACTAGTCTTTAATCATTTGGGACTGTTTCTACTTCCTGTGGATACAACAGGCGATAAACGTTCTGAATTCTCTCTACCGCAGTGCCAGAGTATGTAATTATTGAAGCTCTCTCTCTCTCTCTTTCGCTCTCTTCCTTAGCTATTTAAACCTGCTTTGTGGGAATTAATGAAGTGCTATTTAGAGTTGATTCCGGTTCGATAATAATATTTAACCAACAATATTCAATAATCTTCCAAACACAAATTATTATAATTTACACAAATGTCTAAAGGGGATTTGAGGATTAAAATTCATTGCTTTAAATATAAATTTAATTAATAAAAGATGAAGTTTAGTTTTCATCAACCTGAAGATTTCTCATGCTCTACTTCAGGGTTGCCAGAAAGATTTAATTTTCGTTTTCCCTCATTTCCTCATGTTGTACAATAATATCTGGAAATCAGGGAAAAATTAAATTTTTGTATATTTTTTAAAGAAAATTGACACGTTTATTAAAACACTATGCATTTTTTTTTTTTTTTTTTTTTTTTGAATGAATGAATGAAACAATTTCTCAGATTTCTGATTAAAAAAGATTCGTTGCTTTTTTATTTGACGAGAATTTTTTAATATAGAGAATATTGTTCCTATGAAATGGAATATTCGAGAAAATTCGGTAGAATGGTGAAAACTTTTTTCCAGGGTATATAAGTGTGTTTATATATGTCTATAGAGATGCGAGTAGGTATATACATAAATGAAAGTATAAGTTAGTGTCAGTAACAAAATTGTCGACTTTCGTCTGCTTTCCTCGCGTTTCCTTTACACGTGGGAAAACCGGGAGTGTTCACCGGTGGAATTCATCCAGGAAACTGGAACCGGGAAAACTTCACCGAGAAGGATTATTCTCTAGGGACGCGAACCAGAGAGGCGTAATTAGCTCTTGGGTTAATTAGTTGTACCATGCAGTGACGACACCGGCTCTAATTCGTCCTTTGCAATTTTCCTTTGCGAGCAATGAAATTTACTCCTCTCCTAAAGGATCTCAACTCAAAAATTTGTCGCTAATTTTCCTTCGAACGAAAATTGCTGCACGTCAAAATAATATAAAAAAGTTGTTGAAATACAGGATTGCCAAAAATATTTGATTCATTTCCCTGATTTCCAGACAGAATTTTCACTTTTTCCCTGACTAAGAATATATTTTTCATTCTCTTTATTTCACTTTTTTGAATAATATTCCAAACGGTCGGCTTTAATTTCTACTTGAAAGAAACTTTTTCCTCTTTCAATTTCTATTTATTAATTTATTTAGCAGGGTTGCCACGAAAAATTAATATTCTTTTTCCCTGATTTCCAGACAAAATTTTAACTTTATCCCTGACCCCAAAAAAAATTTTGATTCACTCTAAAAATCATTTGATACTCAAAAAAATGTTCTATTACATTTATTTACGAAGATTTTTACAAAAAATTTTCAAATAATTAAATTCTGTTGGGAAATTTTATGAAAATAGTAGATATTGAAAAGATTGAAAATCATTGAATTAAGAAAATAGAAAAGTTTTTAAAAACAATTAAATTTTACAAAGAATTCAATTAAAATTTTTGACAATAATTGAATTCTTACGAACGATTTTATTAGAATTTTTAAAACAATTGAATTTCCAATAAGAAATTTATTACTTTTAAAAATAATTGAATTTATTCTTCTGATGAATATTGTTATTTATGAAAATAATTGAATTTTGCAAAGAATTTGATTAAAAAACCTCAAAATAATTGAATTTTGGAGAATAATTTTGTTATTTATCTTTAATAATAAATTGAATTCTTTCGAAGAATTACTTATGTAAATAATAGAATTTCTGCAATCATTTGTATATTTTTCAAAATTAAATTTTTTCCAGTACTTTAATAAAAAATGCCTTACTTTTCCCTGATTTTAGTGAATTTTTATTTATCTAATGGGAATTTTCGAATCAAGGACTATTCGGCGAGATTCCTTTGCAATTGCGACGAAATATATTATTGTTAATTAATCCTCTTCGTCGAGCCTACCCGGTTTGCATAAATGACATTTCCGTCGAGGTATATAGCAACACCATTTCTAATCGTATCAGGTTCGCTGAACTCCCTCGCTTAATTAAATCTAGGTACGTGGTGTGACAATTTTACAAGATTGCCACTCCTACCACTTAACGTCTTATATTCTCCAGAAATGTACCACACTTTAATAGGGCGCAAAATAGTTTAATTAAATTGTTGTCTCTAAATTAATTACAAACTTTATATTTCGATTTTACTTCAAGTTCATCTTTTCTGATGGAATACTATACCTACCCTCATAGAAGTAGTGCTTTATTTTCTTTGAATATTTCAAAACTAAATTTATTTTCCCCTGCTTCTAACGGGGCGGGTATTTCTAATTTTAGACGAATTTCATTGTTGTGCAGAACATGGAAATTTGGAATTTAAAAAGTAAACTTTTTGTTGAACCTAGTTGAAAAGTAGGAAGTGAGCAAGAATGGAAGTTTAAACTTTTCCTTGTCTTGATTTTCAGCAAAAACCTACTTGCATAGCAGGATGAACAGCAGTCTGAGTTTTGGACTTTTAACTTTAAAACATGTTTACTGAAATATTTTACTCTAATTCAAAAGTTCTTAACTGTCCGTTTCGAAAATTTCACAATTTTCTTATTAATATTAACATATAATTTCAATAATAATTCTATTGCAATACGTTTTTCATTCCAAAAGAGTTGTTTTTAGATTTAAATAGCATTGCTGCATTATTTAAATATCTCCCTTGAAAAATAATAGAAAAATTGAAATTTTGAAGTTAAATAAATCAATAATTTGAGAAAAGTAAATATACCGTTTCTCTCTCTCTCTCTCTCTCTCTCTCTCTCTTCTTTTTCTATCTTGAGAGTGCAAAACTTTTTACAAAGGAAATTCGCGAAAAACTTTTACACAACGACCTCGAGATGAAAGGCGAACTTTTTGCTTTGTTATATATTATTTATATATCGTCCCAGTAAACCGGAAAAGTACCGAGAAATAGATTTTTGAAAAGAACTTGATCGAATTTTTGCAAGCGCGGCAAACTTTCGTTTTGTGTGTTTCATATCGAAAGTTTCGTTTTCATAGAAATAACTTATTCAAATCTACAGTTTATTTGGAAAATTATTTGGATCAAGTAAATATTGTTTTCAAAATACTTATTTTTTAAATGAGAATGTTTTAATTTTAAATTAAATAAAATTTCAATTATCTTTATAAATAATAATATCCTTCTCCAGAAATCAATTATTTTCAAAAATTTTCTTTTATAAAGAATTTTGTTAACATTTTCAAAAACAATTGAATTTTCATGAAATATTTAATTATTTATAAAAATAATTTAAATCCCCTAAAAAATTTACATAATATTTATAAAAATAATTGAATTTTTGTGAAGAATTTTGTTAACATTTTAAAAAATAATTGAATTCCCCTGAAAAATGTAATTATTTATAAAAATAATTATATTCTTTA